GTGTTAATCCTGTAATGGTTGATCCAGGATACTTCCCAATGTGAGGGACAGGCTGTGGTGACCCTATATTTAAGCAGGGGGCAATTGCTTAATGTAAAACACACATAATATACACGGAATCATTCTATTGTGCAAAAATATTGTTCTCATTTCAGAATTATTTCTGTACACTCTCACAAGATGTCATAAACCAGCATCCTGTTACAGGAAACGCTCAGAGCTCACTACATCAAGCACAGATGCATGTACACTCTTCCTTATATAGACACACATGATCTCATTCACAGACCCAAAATCACACACACTCACACATACACACGCTCACACACACACAGCCTGAAAGATGTGCTGTGCCTCTGCTCATTAGTCCACTGTGACCCAGAGCCAAGCCACCTCATTAAGAAAAATCCTTAAATCGCTGCTGATATTCTCTGAGTAGAGGTCACTCTTTTATGCTACTACCAAAAAGAATCTTTATCAAGGGATTTATTGGGCATTGTGCATTTTCTTCACACAGAAAACTCACCAATAACTTGGTTGTATGACTGCGGTGAGGATCAATTTCTTGCTAGGTCAGCAACATAAATACACATGCATTTATTGAGGACTTAGTGGTATTCAGCAGAGACATGACTAACAGTACATAAGTATATTCTTTCAGTTTGTGGGTAGTTGTGAAGTTGTCATCTCTGGATGGACAGTCTCACCCTGAGCCCTTCCCTCTGTCATGAGAGGTGAGTCATGTCTGTGCAGCACTATTATTATCGTCTGCCTGGGGTGGGAATTCAAGATAGGCTGCAATGGAGGATGATTTAAGGAGGGTTCAAAGGAATTAAGTTTCAAATAAATGAATAAAAGTTCTAAAAAAAAGAAAAAAAAGGTATAACCTCAATTGACATTGTGACAGGGAAACTGAAACTGAACCTTTCAAATGTGAAATCCCCCTCTGATTAGCTGTTTCCATAAGATGATGGTAATTAAAAATCACTAATGTGGCAGATATGATGCTACATGTGCAAAAATAACAATTATTTCTGATTTTAAGGAATAATAATAATCAACCTGTCCATTGCAAAGGTGTGTCCAATCCTATGTTTAGCTCAATTGGATCATATTGCTGCCACATACCATACTTAACTGCAACATTTCTACATTCAAGAACAAAATATTTCTCAAAGCAGAAAATCTCTCTTTGAGGGCTTAAACTTCTTCTATGACTGCACTTCATCTCTGGCTGTATTGCTTTGCATTCATAATTTTGTATGTATTATACATTCAAATCATAAACAACACATTTAATGTGCAGTTTTATTTACAAATGTTGTTCCAAAAAATATGCATGAACTGAACATTAATCAAATATAAGGCAGTTAAGGACAGTGCAAGAAGGAAGATGCAAATACAATATTTATCCATCATACAGCACGAGCCATCTATCAACAAAACTTTTACATAGACTTTCGTTGATGTATTTATTACACAACCATTACTTTGTAAAGCCTAATCAACGATTTCATGATACTGAGCGGTTGTTTTTTTGTTGTTTTTGTTTTTAGCCAAAGAACCTCTAAATTCATGTGTGCCCAAACCAACACCCTTGAACAGGTTATATAGGCATCATCATACATTGCCTAAAATTCTGGTGCTTCAAAACCATTCATCAATGCGTATATGTTTATATGATTATATTATTGTCAAGCACTGATGACCCTCACTTCCTGAGATTTTGCATCACAGATTTGTGCAACTTGAGTTTTTGTTCCTGGTTCCAGCTCTGATAAAGATGTGCCATCTAGTTAGTCGGTTACACAGAGAGCTCTCGAGTATGGCGCAACATGGTGCAATCACTTTTTTCTTATAATACTGAGAGTGGTGAGAGATGAGTTTCCTATGGACCTTTCAAGTTTTTTTTTTAAGCCCCGTGCTAAAAATATGGCTTAAAGTATCAGCCCCGCCATTCAGAGGACGTGTGAAAGCTCTTTATGTATGAATAACTCAAGAAAATGTAATGTAAAAGTCAACTGGTTTATTTTGCATTTGTCCTGAACAACATGGCAAGATTCTACAGACCTTACTCTTTCTGCAAGAAAAAAATGGAACGGGCCAAGAACGTATGATGAAAAAGAAAGAATCTGTAAACCCATTAAAACATTTTGATGCACCTCTTTCATGCTCCAGTGGCTACCATCAAGTGACTCATGTTCTCTTTGCTAGGACAAGTTGGTATCTTCTCATACAGAAACAAGACAAATGCAGCCATTATGTCATCAACTTAACCTCAGTTTATTGTTAATCACTGTTGTTTTCTCATATTTTTATAACACGGTCAGCCCAGATGCTTGACATTCACCTAAAAGAAGGTCTGGTACTCCCCCGTGCTAGACAGATTTAATCATACTAATGGCCTAATTCAACATGTCAGATCACATTAATAATTGACACCTGTTAGATTGAGGTTTGAAGTGGACCATGAAAACAAGTCTAGGGAGAAAAATGCCCAGAGATACTGTATATTTTGATAAGACAGAGGAAGGCTATTTAAAGTCACCAATTAAACTAACCTGCATATCTTTGGCCCTAATTCCTGATGATATCATAAAAGAAATACATACTGGATTCATACATGAAAATCAGATATTAACATACTATAAAGTCATAAACAAATGTTTGGTATAAGATTGTAATACACCACACCTTTTTTGTTTATCGATATGGGTTTTTGTTTGGGCAATATTGTTTAAATCATTATCACAATACTAATATTTTTGATGTATCATATGGCAGGTTTTCAAAACATTTGTAGAATGAACATATGATAAGATCATATTTATGTTGTTCTGCTTAAAGGTAACATTGAATTTTCATCCGGCCATAATCCGTACACTATGTAAAGTTATATAAATTATTAACAAGCTAAAAAGGTAGCTGTATTTATTCTATTGAACAACAAAACATGTTATACACATAGTAAAACATATAATACAAAATACATATAGTAATAACAATAATAACTGCCCCTTTTCACAGCAGACAAAATGCTAACGGAAAAATCTGTACTGATTCTGAATGTGCAAGCAAGGAGACTGAAAATTTGGTTAATTTATTTCAACACAGTATATAAGCCTTGTTGTTAAAAAAACACAGAACTTCCAACTTCACAAAAACAAATACAGTTCGATCGATAGTAGATCAATACAGCGGATGATGAGTGATGATGAGAAATGGGCCCTGAAGCCCTAGGGTCTATCTCATGCAGTTTTCCTTTCTCTATATTTTTTAAATGTTTTGCTGTTGCTACAATTTGCTGTTATTTTTGCTCTGTTTGCTCACACTGATTGTCCATCAACTGTCACCTTTATTATACTACAGTCTCCCTGTAACAGCTCCACTGTGTTGACATTATACACAAGATACACATTTCAATTAAACGGCGAAAACCATTCATCGATTTACAGGGGT